TTAGGATCCACAGTGCTATAGATACTGTCTATTGTTTTAGAGAGCAGTAATAACTGCTCAATAACTCACACTGACATCAAATAGTTGATGGTAAAAGACAGAGTTTACAGATAATAATTATCAAATTTTGATCAATATTGGAGAATTTTTTATGATCTATAAATTAGAGGTCCATGCATCATCAAATGACGGACTAAGAAAAGAACATATTTTCTTTTTTAAAGATGTATTTATTTATGCAGAGAAGAACTGGGGTGTAGGCCAGAGTGCAGGGGGTGAGATAATTCACCAGAGATAGAGTGGAAGCAAAACAGGTAGATTTACTGAAATGCACTGCTAAAACTCAGGCCACAGTGCTAACAGCCCTGAGACTTAATCCCCAGGCCACCAAAGAGGCACCAAAATATCATATTTTCTAACATGTAGTTTGATGAAATAGCTATAAGTTGGCTGCTATATGTTAGGAACTACACTGCTAATTTTGTTTCCATGATCCTGTGAATGAATACCTATGAAGAATATTCATGTTTAACTGAGTGTCATTTCTCTAACCAGAAAATAATGGAAAGGAAGAGATTGAAATTATAAGGGCATTTTCAAATACACATCTGGTGTTTATTATTTGTGGATATTCATTTTTTTAATTGTTATTGTTCTCTAAGTATAATGATGTCAACAGTCTGTTAATTCTCAGTACCCATTGAATATTTGGGTTACTTACTGCTCAGATAGTAATGTTCATCAATTCATTTTTCATCCAAAGGTGAATTTTGAGCATATACTACACTTTAAGTCCTATTGTACTAATGCATAATGTTAACAAGACAAAAACACTTGATCTTATGGACTCTAGTGAGAAAATAAATTAATAATGTAATTTGCAGTAGAAAAACACACATTTATAAATAAGAATAACTAGAAGAAATAGTGTTAGGGAGAAAGTTAATTTAGATATATCATAAGAAATATCCACCTTTTTAATGTTTTTATTTTTATTTTATACATACAAGAACTAGGGTGGAGACCAGAGGAGAGGGTGGGGTGAGAGGATTCAACAAAGACAGAGTGGGGAGCAGAACAGGCAGGTCTACTGAAATATAATGTTAAGGGGAGCATCAGTCAAAACAGGAAATGTCTGCTGGCCTTATATGGGTTAGCTCCCTGGCTGGGGATCAAACTCATGTGTCAGTGGCTGGGGATAACTTTATAGCACTGAAACTGAGACTTAATCTCTTGTGCCATCAGCGAGGCCCTAAAATATTCACTTTCAGGTGGACCAATTTGAGCAAAATCTGAATGAACAAACAAATTCAGACATTGTGTCATAAATATGAGGATATTCCAAACAAAGACAACAAGTATGGATGCCCTGAGCTAGGCAAAGCTTAGAAACAAAAGAGAAGGCCATTTGGGGATCCAACTGAGTGATGAGATGCAGAGAAAGAGCAAAATGGAAGGAAACAGAGTCTCAGCAGTGGAGGCAGTTTGTACTTGCACATGTAGACTCCTGTGGATTTGATTGTTTTATTTCAACATGGTGGGAAATTATTGAATGAATTTCAATAGAAGCATAACAAATTTGATTTTTATGTCTCAAAGATGTTTCTAGTCTTTCTATGACATACAGATTGAAAATTGTCAAAGTGGAAGCAAGTATATAAATTAGGGGGTTATAAATCTCAAGAAGAGAGATAAGAGGATCTTGGAAAAGAATAATAGTAGTAAAAATAAAATTTTGTATTTTGAGGGTAGAACAGACAATACATGCTCATGAGCCTCAGGGGTAAATGATCTCAAAAACAAGAATGACCCTAAGGTTTTCCATCAGTGCAGCTGATGTTACCATAAACTGAAATGGCAAAATTGACAACAAATACAGTTTTATGTCTTAATTATTAAGGGATAGAGACCATAGGTTCTAGCTTGGAAAATCAATTTTGAAATATTTATTTGATTATCAAGTAGATAAAAATACAGTTACACAGAACTCAGGGTAAAATCCAGAACTAGAAATAGTGGTATCAATTCTGGGTGTTACTAATATAATATGGTACTTATAAAACCAAATATTTGAGTGAGATTGTCCAGTGATATGGTTGTACAAAGACATTCAAATTTGAGGACTGAGTACAAGACATGCTAATCCAACACTTATAAATCAGTCATTGAATCATAAAAGCAAGAGTTAATATAAGAACTGTGGTTTGAACTGGAGTGATCATGCTAAGTGATATAATTTAGAAGGAGAAAGACAAATAGCGGATCATTTCACTCATTTGTGGAACATAGAGAAACAAAACGAAAGAATAAATGAAACTAAACCAAAATAATCCCTGCAAATATGACTGCAGAATTGAGACTCTTAAAGAGGAAAGGTAGAGAGTGTGGAACAAAGGAAGAAGGGAGCCCAACGGTTTATGGTAAAGGATTAAGGGTGCCTTGGTGATGGGTATGAGGTGGTAATATACATTTGAAGGGTGTAAACTCATTCCCCTGCTTATACACAATATTCTAAACCAACAGCTACCCTACTAAAAAAGAAACAAAATGAGATAATTTTCACACACAAAAATGAAATAAGGTTTGAGAAAGCAGTGTTGTAGATGAAAATTGTCCAAATGTGGCATTTGAAAAGTAATATAAGGGTGGCAAAAATGCCTTCAAAACAGAAACTATTAATTTGCAAAATGAAAACCACTATTGATTCTGGCAGAATATATAGCTGAGTCATGACGAGGGCTCTCAATAATTCAAATATGAAAATAGCAATAAGGATGGACAGGGGGAAATATATGAATGCTATACAAACCAAGAATCAATTTTCTCATAGAAGAGACATCAGTACCTTACTCTAAATGGAAAACAAAGAAAATATTACAATTTAATATTTTTTCATGAGTTTGTTTTCAAACACAAGTTGAGTTGTGAAGAAATGAAATCACAGGCATCCAGCCAGAGTTAAAAATATTTACCTACATGTGCAGTGTTGTAAATTGATATTACCTTAATTAAAAAAATAGAAAAGAAAGATACACATGCAAAAATAGGAATTTAAGGAACACCAACATCGACATTTAAAGAACACATTGGACAGAAAGACTCCGCTCTATAAATTTAGAAAGAAAGCTATGAAAATTGATTGATAACTATATGACATATGCTTCTTTTAAAAAAAAGATTTATTTTTTTATTCATACAAGAACTGGGGTACAGGCCAGAGATGCAAGAACTGGGGTACAGGCCAGAGATACAAGAACTGGGGTACAGGCCAGAGGATTCACCAGAGACAGAGTGAGGAACAGAACAGGCAGATTGACTGAAATACACTGCTGAGGGGAACAGCAGGAGAGGCAGGAAAGGTCTGCTGCACCATATGGGTAGGTCCCTGTGCAACTGGGGATCAAACTTGTGCTGCAGAAGCTGCGGATAGCTTCACAGTGCTGTGCTTAACCCCCAGGGAGGCCCTATGACATCTGCTTCTTGAATGTTGGGAATGAATTATTTTATATTACATTTTCTTAGTCTTTCCAAAAGTTCTTCAACATGGCTACACACATCTGTATTTGGAGAACAAGTAACTTAATGCATAGGTACTTCTACTATAGAAAAAAGAGAGAGGAAAGGAAGGAATTTTGTAGGGTATGTTTGTGTTTGTGTGTGTGTTTACAACTTTTCATAAGCTACTTACTTTTAAGAGAGAGTCTTCTGAAAAATATTGCCTTTTTGCCATCCCCAGCCACCAGGACCATCTATGCCTGGGTGAGAGACACAGGAGGTCCTGCCCACTGGCTCCAAGAGCCCCTACAACCCAGACCACCAGCTGGTCACTCATCTGGAACAGAGTCACACAAGGCCACAGCTACTGTACCTACCACCAGTTAAACAACCAGAATAGTGTGAGAGGAAGACACATGCCCAACAGATGCCCCACCTATAGCAGAGCAAACCTGAAAGCAGACAATGGGGAGGAAGAAAAGTACCAATGATTAAGCAAACCCTCAGTGAAACACCAAACCACAGAAAGAAAGTCAACTTGCAGAATCCAAAAACACTGAAACAGAAGAATTTTTCCTCTTGTCATGTGAAGCATTCAAAATTACCATAATTAAGAAAGTCAAAGAATTTGAACCACACAAACAAAACTCAGATAAACAGATCAGAGATATATGAGAAGATGCAGAAAAGATAAAAAAATGCTATGAGAAATATAATCAGCAAACAAAAGATCTAGATTAAAACATTAAAAAAGAAAATAAAGGAAGATCAATGGAGAAGGGAAAAAAGCTGATAAAAGATATGGCAATTAGAACAAATCAGTAATCTTGGAGATTCAGGTATAAAAAGAGACAAGATTAAAAATGAAATTAAGTAGTAAAAGAATGTTAAGTCATAGGAATTCCAGAAGATGAAGAGAGAGAGAAGGGGGCTATAACACTATACAAGAAAACAATTGAAGAAAACTTTCCAAACTTGAAGAAGTAAATGAAAAAAAGACATACACAAGGCTAAAAGGATGGCAGACTAGCTTAAATAAAAGAGATCTATGGCAAGACATATAATAGTAAAGCTTCTAAGAGTCCAAGACAAAGAAAAAATAATGAAGCTGATAAGAAGAAACAGACAACCAACAAAGGAAAGCCAATTTAAACTAACATCAGATTTCTCTGAAGAAACACTACTGGCAATAATAGAATGGAATATATTTTAAAAGTACTTCAAAAAGTACAAATAAGAATAATTTATCCTGCGTGCCGTGGTCCCTGGCTCTCCCGTCCGGTCAGGCGAGGCGCGCGGAGCCGGCGGGTGAGGTCCCCGCGCGGGTGTCCCCGGGGGCTCGGCCGCCCACCGGGGCGCGCCGTGGGTGGCGGGGCACGTGTGCTCTCGTCTGGCCGCCCGAGCACATGCCTAGCGGGCGGGCCGGGCCGGGCCGGGCCGGGCCGGGCCGGGCCTCCTGACCAGCGCCCCTTGTTGCAGCGCCGCGGGACCGCAGGGCCGCAGACATGCTCCTGGGGCGCCTGGCGTCGCGGCTGCTCAGGGCCGGCGCCGCGGTAGGCTGCCACCGGCCCCGGCCCCCCCCCCCCCCCCCGCGCGGCCTGCCCAGCCCGGCCTGCAGGGCCCCTTACAGCGCGCGGCCAGCAGGCTCTTGTGGGGCCATCTCCCTTCCTGGCAAGGGGGTGCATCTGGCGCTGGAGGAGATGCTGGTTCCCAGGAAGATGTCCATCAGCCCCCTGGAGAGCTGCCTGACCGCGCGCTGCCTCCTGCCCAGGCTGGATGCTGGGTCCCGAGGGTGCCCACTCCCGCCCTACGAGTGCCCACCGAGTCAGAAGGGCAGTGGGGCTGAGTAGGGGGGGCAGGCGGAGCGGGACGCTCCCTCGATGCAGTGCAGAAACGTGCTGAAGATCCGCCGGCGCAAGATGAACCACCACAAGTACAGCAAGCTCGTCAAGAGGACGCGGTTCCTGCGGAGGAAGGTGCGGGAAGGACGCCTTCGGCAGAAGCAGGTGAAGTTTGAGAGAGACCTGAGGTGCATCTGGCTGAAAGCGGGCCTGAAGGAGGCTCCCTCAGGGTGGCAGGCCCCCAAGATCTACCTGAAAGGCAAATGAGCCGGGGCCTCCATCCCTCCGCTGCCCGGCACAGACAGCCTGCTGTAATAAATACCTGGGGGCCAGCTGTCTGCAAAAAAAAAAAAAAAAAAAAAAAAAAAGAAAAGAAAAGAAAAAGAAAAAAGAATAATTTATCCTGCAAAACTCCCCTTTTTATCAATATAGGAGGGGAAAATAAGGACCTTCTCAGACAAACAAAATACTCAGGAATTGCTACTACTATCCCCCCACTCAAAGAAATATTACAAGGGTCCTTAGTATCTAAATCAAGAGGGCATGAGCACAAAGAATTAAATAGAACCTAAAACAATGAACATAATGGCAATAACATATTTTCATGTATTAATAATAACCTTAAATATTAATCAACTAAACTCACAAATAACAGGACACAGAGTAGCATGTTGGATTAGGAAACAGAATCCAAATTTCTATTGCCTCCAGGAAACACACCTAAGATCCAAAGATAAATATAAACTGAAAGTAAAGGTTTGGAAAACAATTGTACAAGAAATGGAACACAAGAGTTGGTAGGGGCAGTCATACTTATATGAGATAACATAGATGTGCAGCTAAAAAAAATTACAAGTTACTCAAACTACTAAAAACGAAGCTTCCATATGATCCAACAATTCCACTCCTAGGAATCTATACAAAGGACAAAAAAACATTAATTCAAAAGGATAGCTGTGCCCCTATGTTTATTGCAGCACTATTTACAATAGGAAAGATATGGAAACAACCCAAATGTCCAAAAATATATGACTGCATCAAGGAGATGTGGTATATATACACAATGGAAAACTTCTTGTAATCAAAAAAGATAAACTCATGTCATTTGCAGCAACATGGATGGAAGGGATTATGATCAGTGAAATAAACCAGAAGGTAAAGGAAAACTATAGATGGCTTTACTTAAAGAGGAATGTAGGGAAACCCAATAAGGGACCACAAAAAAGAAATAATTATAATAAACATAAAAACAAAATTAACAGACAACTATTTTCAGAGACACACTGAGGAGGGTGGGGAGGAAAAGGGATCAAAACAGGGGAGGGAATTTTGTAGGGACTACATCCATCTGAAAAGAGAAAGTGTGCATTGTACAAAAAGGAAGAATGATGTAAAATATGTATATAAAAATTAAAAAAAATAAAATAAAAAGTGAAAAATTTACAAGAAACATGGATGGACACTGCATAATGATTAAATGGATAATACCCCAGAAAGATGTGACACTCATCAGTATATATTCACCAAATAAAGGGAACCAAAATATATTAGAAAATTACTATCATCTCTCAAAACAGACATTGAAAGAAATATATATGTGGAAGGAGACTTCAACACGCCACTTTCACAAATGAATACATCCATGAGATAAAAAATAGACAAGGACACATTATACCTCAGCAAATACTTTGTATCACATGAGTTAACTAACATTTATATGACTTTGCACCCCCAATAAAATCAAATACACATTGTTTTTCCCTCAAGTTCACACAGATCATTCTCCAGGAATGACCTCATACTAGATAATAAGACAAACATCAACAACTGCATGTAGTTTGAAATCACACCAACTATCTTCTCTGACTTTAAGGTATCAAACTACAAATCAACTACAAAAAAAAAAGCTACAAAATCCTCTGTTTTTTGGAGACTGAATAACATGTTACTGAAAGGCCACTGGGCTAATGAGGAAAATGAACAAAAAAAATTAAAAAATACCTTGACACAAATGAAAATGAGGATGCAATCTTCCAAATACCTCAGACACAGCAAAAGCAGTAATAAGAGGAAAATATATAACAATACAGGCCAATATCAAGATACAAGAAAAACCCAAAGAAATAACCTAATGTCCTATCTTGAAGAAGTAGAAAAAGAACAGCAACAAAACAAAAGCCAGAATGAAGGAAATGATAAAAATTAAAGTAGAAATAAATAAAATAGAATCAAAATAAAAAAGACAGCCCAAAAGATCAATGAAACCAAAAGGTGTTCCTTTGAAATATAAAACAAAACCTCTAGCTAAGCTCATGAAAAAAAAGAGGGAGAAAACTCAAATTAATAGGATCATAATGATAGAGGAGAAATTACAACAGACACAGCAGAAATACAGAGGGTAATTAGAGATTGCTATGAACACTTATATGCAAACAAGTTTAGCAATCTAGATGAAATGGACAAATTCTTAGTATTATACAATAACCTGAGGCTAAATAGAGAAGAAATAGAAAACCTGAACAAATCAGTTACAAGCAAGGAAATTGAAACAGTCATCAAAACTTTTCCAGAAAATAACTGCTCAGAAGCATATGGTTTCACAAACAATTTCTGCCAAAAGTTCAAAGATGAACTAATACATATCCTGGAAAAACTGTTTTAAAAAAATTGAAGAAGAAAGAGTACTACCAAATATATTTAATAAAGCCAACATTATACTAATATGAAAACCAAACAATGACAACACAAAAAACAAAACTGCAGACTAGTCTTCCTAATGGACATGGGTGCTAAAATTCTCAATATAATCTTAGTAAACAAAATCCAGCAATGCATTAAAAGGATTATACTCCATGACCAACTGAGATTTATTCAAGGGACACAAGGATGGTTCAGCATCTGAAAATTAATTAATATAACTCACCACATCAACAAAAATAATAATAAAAACCAGTGTCTGGTGTTTTCAAGTCTTCAACAGAAAGCATCTAAGATGGTGTCTTCCTGCCACTACCGACCTGGAGTAGGAGGCAACCAGACTATAGGCCAGGTTCCAACTTACGAGGGACAAAAGACGAGACAGGAGATTCTCCAGGAACTGCTGAGATGCAACAGCACAGCACCAGACAAGCGACGCTCAAAACAGTAGCTGCAGCAGCTGAATGACAGGACAAACAGCCACACTCACATAGCTCAGCAAGGGGCCCAGCTCCAGGTCTGCGCCTTCTCTGCCAGGCTGTAACAGCAGCAAAACTGGGAACAGTTTCAGTTGCTAGATTACTTGCAATGCCTCTGAATTTTTCCTCTCTGTTGTTGGCTGCTGGAGGCCTCTACACGTGCTTCAGAGGCCTGTACCTCACTAGCCTTCTAGAAGATATGCATGGTAGGGGCAGAAATCACTGACCCCGGAATCACTGAAGATTGGAAAACATTGAATCCCAAAAACTGAATGCTCAAAGACTGAATCCTGAACATCGAATCCTGGGGCTGCTTCTGTAGTCCCTTATATTCCTTCTCAGAGTCTCCAGACCAAAATGTGACAATTTCTGGCATTTTCCCAGAGGTTATCTATCCTCACCAGCTACCCTCTCCAGGGGGCACCACCTGTAACATTCTTTGGCTTTAGCCACCTGTTACAAAACTAATAAAACTAACATTTGAAAGTGGATTGTGGAAATGAGATACAGAGGTGAGGGGCAGTGGGAGGGTGCTCTGTGGACTGTGCTGGTTGACAATGAGTACCTTGGAAATGGGAGCACAATGGTGACTATATCAGCAATGCAGAGGGTGGATTCTGTATTTCCAAAATACTAACAGCAATGTATACCAACATTACTGCAATAAAAATATGTATATATAGGTCCTCCTTGGTGGCCTAGAGATTAAGTCTCACTGCTATCACCACTACAACCTGAGTTCAATCCCTGGCCAGGGAGCTACCCATATGGTGCAGCAGACCTCTCCTGTCTCGCCCACTGCTCCCCTCAGCAGTGTATTTCAGTAAATCCACCTAATTTGTTTCCCATTCTGTCTTTTGTGAATCCTCTCACCTCCACACCTCTGGTCTACACTCAAGTCTTCTATGCAAAACAAATCAATAAATAGATCTTTTAAAAAATACATACACACATATTTACATAATATTTGCCAATCTTTTTACTGTTTATTTTTTTCCTTTGCTTATTGTGGGGGTGCTTTTTCATTCAGAACACGTATTATTATCGACCCTTCTATGTGAGCATTTTCTTTTATTCTATGCATTAAATTTTCATATTGTTAATATCTTCTGGTATACTGAAGTTTTTAATTTTCATGAAGTTCAATTGTTGTTTTATAAAAATTTTCTCATACTGTTTTTTTGGTCTAAGAAATTTTTACAAAGATATTTTCCTATGCAAAACCTATATACCTTTAGATTTCAAGTTTAAATGTATGATCCATATACAATTATTTTATAGCAAGCATTAATTTTAAACAATGCACTTTCATATATTTAGGATTTTCTTCAGTGTTTACATTTTTAAATGTCTTATGTTGAGATGAATTTTATGACTCAGTGTGCCATTTTGGGGTTTGAAATAGATGTCCTTGTGTGGCACAATCCTACCAGTTCCCTTGTAAGCGGAGATATGATTGAATTAGAAAATATTGCTCTTTGCATCCCTAAAATTAAAAAGGCATGGCAACCCATGTCTCACATTACTACTTCAAAATAATTTTAAGTAACATCAAAAATTGTAACTAGTTATACATGCTGGTACAAGAAAAGGTGTTAAAAATCATTAATCATCAGGGAAATGCAAAATAAAACCATAATGAAATCTCACATCTATTGTAATTGTTATTATCAAAAGGACAAGACATAACAAGTGTTGACAAAGATGTGTAGAAAAAGGAATCTTGTGCACTGTTGGTGAGAATGTAAATTTGTACAATCTCTATTGAAAACAGCTTGGAGAATCTTTAAAAATTAAAAATAGAACGACTATATGATTCAGCAATTGCACTTCTGAGTATCCAAAGAAAACAAAAATATTATTTGAAAAATATCTGTACCCTTTTGTTCATTTATTTCATGCAGCAACCTAAGTTTCTATGAATGGATGAACAGATAAAGAAAATGTGAATATGCAATATCCTCTAAATTTTGGGATTGCTTTTGTATTTCCTCAGACATTGTAAACAGATTCTAAAGACAGAATTAAAGACAGAATTATTAATTGCTTATCAACTGTATATATCACATAGTTGATATATATCTATGTATAGACATGTATATGTGTAGGTCTTTACATACATGCTATATATTAACGAGTAATATTTTGTTATTTGCAAT